AAGTGAATTTCAGGACAGCCAAAACTACACAGAGAAACTCTGTCTAGAAAAAAAAGTTCATGTGTATATGTATATATTTATATGTGTATTAATTTATTAATATAATTTAAAAGTGTTTCCCTATTAAGTTATTAATTTTGTCTAGATCTACATATTTTAGGATTAAAATATATGTGTGTCCTATTATGTATACTTATCCCCGTTAATGTTTATTGACAGTGTATTTCCAGGGTTTTATGTGACAGTATTACAGTGACATCCTAAACATTTTGATACGTCAACATTAATACTTGTAGGATACTACCTTGCACTTCAGGGAACGTAATGTAAAAGTATGTGGGTTGTTAATTCTTTGATAGACTTACTAAGTGAACTTTGGTAACATGAGCTCATTCTTCTGAGTATATTTTCTCTCCAGCTTTTTAAACAGGAGACATTAGGCCTATTGAAAAGCCTAAATTGTAATATGGTGAATGCTCAAATGCCCCTTACCTTGTTCTCCAATTACTATCTTTCTACATGAATGAGTTTGCTCTGGTGGTTATAATAACACAGTACAGAGACTGGGTGGCTTAAATGATAGACATTTATATTTTCTTTCAGTTCTGGGAAGGTCAGGTCCAAGATGAAAGGGTTAGTTAGCAGGTTTCCTTTCTTCTAAGGCCTCTCACCGGGGCCTGCAGATGCATATCTCTTTTTTTAATTAATTAAATTTTTATTGAAAATAGATTATTCTGTCATACAATATATCCCAACAAGTTTCCCCTCTCTCCACTTCTCCCAACTGCCTCCCTACATTCCCTCTTCCCCAGATCCATTCCTCTTCTGCTTCCTTTTTAGGAAAGAGCAGGCCTACAAGAGACAACAGCCAAACAGGACAAAACAAGATATAATAAGACAAGGCAAAAGCCCTCATATCAAGGCTAGACGGGACAACCCAATAGGAGGAAAAGAATCTTAAGAGCAGGAAAAAGTCAGAGATACAACCATTCCCACTGTTTGGAGTCCCACAAAAAGACCAAGATAACAGCCATAACATACATGCAGAGGACCTGGTGCAGGCCCTGTGCTTGCTGGTTCAGTCTCCATGAGGCCACATGAGCATGAGCTGTGCTTAGTAGATTCAGTGGGCCATATTTTCCAGATGTCCTCCATCTCCTTTGACTTCTACTGTCTTTCCACCCCCTCTTCAATGGAGCTACGCAGTCTCCAAGGGGAGGAACCTGATAGATACCTCAAGTTTCTAGACTCTACACAATTTCAGGCTGTGGGTCTCTGCATTGCTCCCATTTGCTGCCAGAGGAAGCCACTCTGATGATGACAGGAAAAGGCACCAATCTATAAGTATAGCAGACTATCATTAAAAGTCATTTCATTTTGTTTTTGTTGTTGTTGTTCTCCCCTAGGTCCCTGGGCCTGGCCACCCGGACAGTGTAGGGCCTGGGTCTCCCCTCACGGGCCTCAAGTTAAACTAGTCACTGGTTGGCCACTCTCACAGGTTCTGGGCCACCGTTGCCCCAGTGCATCCTGCAGGCAGGCAGATTGTAGGTCAAGGATTTTGTGTCTGGGTTGTTGTTCAGATTTCTTTTCTATATGATACAGAGTACAAGCCCATGCCAAAGAGACTAGAACATAGAGGTGAAGGCTCCATGCGGGCACCAGCTCCACCTCTCTACATTCAGTGAGCTGTGTGGATGTTATCCTTGGAAATGGGGCCCCACCGTCAGTTTTAAGATAGCAACCCTCTGATAGCCTGGCTGTCCTAGGATCAGCCTGGGTTGTTTAGGAATCTCTGTGGAACGCTGAAAACTCAACTGAATGTAGCCCAGTCCTACCACCAGAAGCTTTGCCTAGCTACAAAAGAGGGCCAGTTCAGACTCCGTATCCTGCATTACTAGGTGCTCACTAGGGTCACCCTCATAGACTCCAGGAAGGCTTCCACACACACACACACACACACCCAAGTGCACCTTCAGTTACAGCTGTCCATCCCCCATTCCCACCAGCTGATCTCTCCTGCTCCCATCCCCACTTTTCCCTAGTTCACTTGAAAAATCTGTTGTTTCCCCTTCCCAGGGAGATCCATGCTTCCCCTCAAAAGCCCTCCTCTTTACCTAACCTCCCTGGGTCTATGGATTGTAGCTTGATTATCATTTATTTAACCACTAATATCCACTTACGTGAATACAAACTGTAGTTGTTTTTCTGGGTCCAGTTTACCTTACTTAGGATGTTTTTTTGTTGTTGTTGTTGTTGTTTTTTCTAGTTTCATCCATTTGCCTGCATAATTCATGATGTTGGGTTTTTGGTTTGTTTGGGGTTTTTTTGTTTTGTTTTCTTTTGTTTTTTGTTTAACAATTGAGTCATACTCCATTGTGTAAATGTACCACAGTTTCTGTATCTTCTTCTGCTGAGGGACATCTAGGTTATTTCCAGTTCCTGGCTATTAGGAGTAAAGCTGCAATGAATATAGTCAAGCAAGTGTTCTTGTGGTAGGATGGAGCATCCTTTGGGTATATGCGCAACAGTGGTATAGCTGGGTCTGGGTCTTGAAGTTGATCAATTCCCAATTATCTGAGGAATTGACAGATGACTACGTTTTGTTTTGTTTTGTTTTGTTTTGTTTTGTTTTGTTTTTTGAGACAGGATTTCTCTGTGTAGCCCTGCCTGTCCTGGAAATTGCTTTGTGACCAGGCTGGCCTCGAACTCACAGAGACCCACCTACCCTGCCTTCTAAGTGATGGGATTAAAGGTGTGTGCCACCACCTCCTGGCTTGGATGGCTGTTTCTTACTATGTCCTTGCATGACCTTTTCTTGGTACACTCATACATCTGTATCCTGGGTTCTTCTTTAAAAACAAAAACACTAATCATACTGGGTTAGGACCCGCCCAGAGGATCTCACTTTACTTTAATTACTTCTTCAAAAGCACTATCTCCAAATATAGTCAGTAGGGATTCATCCATAGTATCACCATTGTTTCCCTTTATCCATACATCACATTAATATAGTAGTATAATAGGTCTATTATAATCACTTATACTTATGTGTAGTTATACTGTATTTTAATTATATCATTTTATGTAATCTATTTAACATATAACATATATAATTATAATCTAACATAGGTAGTGTGTAATCTCTTTCTATAAGCCATTTGAAGGAAAATTATAGCTTCTCTGATACCTATGTGTTTATCTTGTAGAAATTAGAACACTCTCCTTTTTGAGTATTTGATGTCCTTAATAACGGTGAAGATAGAAGCAGATGGTAGTGGTTACACCTTTAACCCCAGTACTCAGGAGACAGAGGCAGGTAGATCTCTTGAGTTTGAGGACAGCCACGGAGAAACTCTGTCTTGAAAAAACAAAACAACAACAACAATAAAAATAATAATAATGGTGAGGACATAACTGATAAGCATAAAGTGGCTCTGGCCCCGGTGGGAAGTTTCTAGACCATTCTCTTGTAAACCTTGGCCCCTCGGTGAAACTTGGCCTGCTTCTAGGGAAAAACCTGCTTTCAAGAGCCATTCAAACCAATAGAGCCTCTTGACTTCAGCTTGAGATTTTTTTGGCATGGTTGAGGTTTGGGGTCTACAATGTGTCAAGGACACAACAGACTTCCTTACAGTTCCACCAGCTTTTCAGTCTCTCTATCCACATGATTTGAAACACCAGGCTTGTTATTTCAGTCTTTGTACAGGCAGCCTTGCCCTGCCAAATGTGGACTGGCTGTATTTATTCAGAGAGCAGGATTTATTGACTTGCATTCCATTTTCCCTTTCACCATCCTTCTGCTGCTGCAGTCCCTTTGGCAGCTTGAGATTTCTCCAGAAGTTGGTTCTCTCCTGCCACCAGTTCTGATTAGGGATCTTTCATGGCTTGAGTCAGTCTGTTTCTTTCTTAGCACTTTGGTGTGGGTAAATATCACACAGGCAGTACTTCCGGTGTTTGTATTAGTTATGGAATGTTGCTAAGAGCTCCAGGGGCACGTGTAGTGGGGAAATTTATTTCCTCTATTCTAGACAGTGTGCCTGCACAACTTGGGCATGGGTGCACACCTTTGCCAGCCAAGGCTGAGCCAGTTGTTGCTACCTCTTCCCTATAGCTGTGAGCACAGCCAGCATCTTTTCTCACTGCAGTCACCTGGGAAATCCATCATCCGCACAGCCCTCAGGACAGCTTTTCTAGGTTGACTCCGCTTAGACTCCTGGCTTTTCCTTCCCTACAGGATTCATTCCTGCCCTCCTGACCCAGCACTCAGGACCTCCTCCCCCCTCATGGGGCCCATCTTCAATTTGTCATCCTCTTTGCTGCTCCTCCAACAGCCCTTGTAGTTATGTACTATGACGAGGCAAATTAAATTATTCTAAACACACTGCTGTGCTCTGTTGCTGTACCTGCGAGCTCCGTAGCTGTGTCTCCTCAGTGTCTCCTCTCTGGTCTTGCAGCAAGCTCTTACTCAGCCTTGAGGACTTGGCTTGATTGTTTTCATTAGGGAAGCCTGTCCTAATAACTACTGCTCCCAGCCTCAGATTTGTCTCTTCTCTAGCACTTTTCATCCTGCATGATTTCATAGCTCTCCCCTCTTTCCTAGGCTGCTGGCTTTTCATTTGTATCCTCCAGTGCCTGGCCTCAGGTCGAGAGTAAACCACAGGATAAGCGGGTGGACTGTCCTTATATGCTAGAGTTAGGAGCACCACATTGTCCTTTGTTGTTTCCAGTAATGACCCAAGTGAGCTTTGACACAAGAAGAAAATGCAGGTCTACACACTGTGAGGAGTCACGCTTTAATAAGTATCTAGTTCTGAAGAGTCCGTGCTGACAGACAGTAGGACAGGCTCCCAGTAACCTTCCCTGATCAAAACATGCCACCCGGTGCTAGCAGACTAAGCATTTTAACTTAGCAGTGTAAATAACAAGTAGACTGATAACCCAACTTATGTATTTACTTGCTGTTGGTTTGAGAAACTACTGATGTCTGTCTGTTCTTTCAGTTAAACGCTTCAGAGAACCAAAGCATGAAAGACGACCTTGGAGGATATGGTAAGTACCAAAGTGCCGACTCGCCCCTAGAAAGCTTTTTTACTGTGTTGGGGTTTTGGTTTGGGGATTGGTGGAGATGTGTTGGGATAGGTGGGGCGTAGAATAGCAGCAACTACATATCATATAAAGTATGTGGAATCCCTCAGTTGAGTTAATTATTAGAAATGCTGTATAATATGAAGACAGTTCTGTTTCTTTAAAAACGTTTGACCTCTACTTTTATTTATAATGTTGCTTTCAGTACTGGAAGATGGAAGACAATACAAATGGAGCAGCCTTTGCTGTGGGCTTCTTCATCTCAACTTGTAACGAGATTATGCTTAAATTCTTGACTTCTACAGTCTGTATGTGTAATCAAACACAAATTTACTTGGAGATTAGTCATGCATACATCAGAGACCCTTAGAACACCCCCTACCAGGGTGACTCAAAACTGAAGGAAACAGTGTTTCCATTTTCTGGTTTATTATGAAGGGTGCAGGTGAATGGCTACACAGAGAGGTTCAGTGAGCTGGGATGTTCCTGAGCACAGTTCTATGACCATGCTTTAGAGCACACCATCCTCCCTGGGCACCAGTTCATTAGTTCGCTGCTTCCAGGTCCTGTGTCAACTGAGTCTGCAGCCTGTCTTCTCTCCTGGAGTATGGTAGCTCTTGGTACAATCAGGGCGTAGTCTTTCAGTGGCTTCCCAGCCAAAAGCATTCTAGGAACTACAATCACCTTTTTAGAACAAAAGCTGTTCCCATCACCCAGGACAGTGAAGGATTGGACTTCAGTGGGGGGTTCTGGGATCAAAAAACAAGACACTCCTTACATGCCTGGCACTCAGGAAGTTACCTGTTGGTTGGGACTCTTGGTCAGGGGTAGAGATCAAGTGTCCAACATACTCATTTGTGTAGGATGGCCCTGCAGCCATGTTCACTATATGGTGGTAAAGCTTCAGAAATAGATTCCAGGGGCAAAACTCCTAGTCAGTAAGTCACTTGGAAGGAGTCAGGCAGGCTTTGGGTTAACAGTATGGGCTAACTAAGCTTACTCCTGTGCTAACAAATTTTTCACTGCCCTTCAGAAGAAGCTTCATCGTCATGTCAATTGTAAATTGTCACACAGTACTTGCTGGTTCTTAAAGACATTACTGCCGTATATTGAGCAGTCTTATTTGTACCGGCTCCATCACTGATTCTCCCAAATCTGGGCATTTAGTCCTGCTCTCATGGTTAGGTCACCACAAACACTGAGACTGAGGCTGTTTGTGTCTTATGCATGTTACCTTTGATGTCTCCTTGCCTCTGGGTGTAGGGATAGTTTTGAGGTTTGTCCACAGGCTTGGTCTGTTTTCCCCAACGTGGTTGCTGCTGTCCTGGCAGGTTGGTAACACTTGCTGGTTTTGTTTTATGCAGGTTTTTAGACACTTCCAAACAAGCCATAGGGATGCTGTTCATCCACTTCGCAAATGTGTACCTAGCAGATCTCACTGAAGAGGACCCTTGCTCGCTGTGAGTTGCTTGTATCTGAATTTGACCTCAATTGAAATACGGACTGGCCCTCCTTTCCCAAGCTAGTGCAGCCCTCCAGCTTGGAGGCACCCATCCCTTCCCTTCTGGATTTCCCTCACTTCATCCTGTGCATGCCTGCATGTGTTTATATATACTCATTTGGTTGGCTCGCAGGACTTTGACAGTGACTTTGTGCACTGGCTTTCTGTTAACCAGTCCAAGTTCAATCCTTTGTCTTTCTAGTGCCCTAGTGGTCCCATGCTCCCAGCAGCCCCCAAGCTGAACAGGCTAACACTGCAAGATTGACTCTGTGCCAGGTACAAGCACATGCCATTTCGCTGTGGTGTGAGATGCTCACAGGCAGTTGTGTCGAGCATCACTGACCTCTTTGATCAAAAGGGCATCCCTGTTCTGTTTGTCAGTGTAGACTGCCCTGTACAGGATGCCCAAGCAGTGTGTCTGAAACCATAACCATGCCCTAAAATACTGTACTTCTTACTGTGAGGAGGGGTGGTTATTCCCCAAGCAGACAGAGCATAACCCCAGTCCCAACTCTTACCTCCAATCTGCAACTTCAAGTTGGAGGCACAGGAAAGTTCACACAGTGCAGACATGGTGGAGCTGGGCTTAAACCAGTCTGTGTGCAAGGCCCCGTGATGTTCTGATGCCTAAATGAATCATCTATGCTGAATACAGGTTGTAAAATTTGGTCTTAGTTTCCAAGAGCAGCACACAGTAGGATCAGGATTATTTGACAGGTATATTAATGAATGCAAGACTGGTTATAGCTACCCATTGTCCTTGTTATCATTTAGGCTTTATCTCAGATGTGGAAATGCAGGTGTGAATAGCATTCCACACCAATTAGATATAAGTGTCAGAGCAGTAGCCTCCTGGCTAGAATCGAAATTGCTTCGGAAGCTGAGATTATTCGATGTGACTCTGTCTGAGAGTGACCCCTTGTGTCTTTAAGGAGGAAGAGCAAGCTGCCTACCTCCCTCTCATTGCTAGTTTTCCAGGTTCTGGGGACCAAGCACAGTATGCTGCTCCCAAATTGGAGCGTTATGTACATCACAGAGTCCAGAGTGGGACAGAGGTCTGCTAGTCTGCATGAACTGTCTCAGGCCTTAGCAGCTTGAAAATTCCTTAAAGCCAACTCTTGCATTATCCTTGAGTTTATCTATAGGGAGTTCATAACCCTGTGGTATCACAGAGGGTCAGTACCTGCCTCAGTGACCTCATTTCCATCTTATTCTACCCTAGATAACTGGAGCCTGTGTCCAGTGATGCTCAGCTAGATCTGGATAATAGAGCCCTTGAGAGAGGGCAGGTAAACAAGGGGCTTTACCCTTGTTTTTTGTCAGGCACAGGGAAACAAACCTTTTAAGAATATGTGGTCACTATTGGCATGCCTCTCCTTCCTCCTATCCTCTGCCCTTTTCTCAGGGTGCTGGGTTCCATCACCAGTACCACTACAAAAAAAGTAAAAACACTATTTGTACACATGATTACAGACATGAATGAACATGCGGCCATGTGGCCCTGCCTGCTTGTCTAAGAAGTCTCAGAAACCATTTTCCTTGAATGCCCTGGGAAAGGGGCATACTTGTACAACCTTGTGTGGCCTGAACCGTCAGGAATGAGCAGAATCATTTAGTGGATTTATTGTTGTCAATTGGGTTTTGTTTTCTTCTCAGTTTCCTTAGCTACTTCCAGGAATGCTGTCTTCTGTTGAATCTTGGCCTTGGCACATACACACATTTGAAGTTTATAAAGTTTCTTTGTCCTTCTCTTTCCCGTTCTTCAAGTTTTTAATTTTAGCACCTTTCCAGACAACCTGGAGATGGAAGCCACCATTCCTGTAGTCTCTTGCATAAATACATATAAGGGTACCACTCTCCCCCAGTAAAGCCAAACAAAGGCTGAGCCTGTTAGCCTTGATCTCTGACCCTGTAAGTGCTGCACTAAGGTCCCAGCTTAGTGGCTTTTGTTCCCTGACCATGCTGGTATGGCCTCTCTTTCTAGGTACCTCATCAACTTTCTTCTGGACGCCACTGTAGGCATGCTTCTCATTTACGTGGGCGTACGTGCCGTCAGTGTCTTGGTGGAGTGGCAGCAGTGGGAATCCCTGCGTTTTGGAGAATATGGTAATGTCCATGGACACTGGGTAGGACATGTTGGGGAACTGCTTGCCCTGGGTAGCTCGGAAATTTGGAGCTTTTGGAGGTGTTGGCTGTCTCCCTATGTAAACATGAAGGGGTTTGTTTTAGGCCCTGAGTGTCACTTTCCTGGGGGCATGAAGGAAGTACTTCACTCCCAAGACATTCACCTTTTTGTGAGAGAAAGTGGCAGAGGCCAGGAGACAGCCCTTCTACCAAAGGTACTTGCGGTCCCACCTGCAGGGCTGCAAGACCACTGCATTCTACTGAGCTTCCTAAAGATCTCCTCTTACTTGCCCGCTACGTTAGAGATATGGGAGCAGCTCTCATTTGGGAATGCAGTCCATAGAGAGGTGAAAGCCGGCCCCTCTCTCTGCCACACAGCTGTGTTTGTCCTGTCACCAGATTACCCTGCTGACAGATTAGAGCTTACGTGGCAAGTACTAGAGTGTGCATCCCTTCTGAGGTCAAGTTGCCTTGCCTACTGACTGTAGGCTTGTCACCCACCTGGCATCTGGATGTCCCAGTCTCTCAGATATGAGCTCTGTCCTCCCTCAGATACAAGGCTTCAGACCAGCATCTTGTGGGTACTAGCCTATCTTGTGAGACCCCCATGTCACATCTTGAGTAAGAAACTGTTTTCATATTGGCTGTAAGCATGAGAAAAAGTTGAAGGCGGCCTTGATAGGCGCTGCTAGTGAGGAGCTCCTCTTGTGGAGCAGTGTTAGTATCTCTTCACCACAAGGGGGCACCAGGATAGCCACGAGGGTTGTGGGTAAATATCTGGACCCACATTCCCCATTCCTTGTCATGCCCTCCAAACAACTCAGGGCTCTGGGCCCAGAGACTACTCACTTCTAGGTGGTTGAAGATCTCTGAGGGACTGACAGTTTCAAAGGGCACAACATTGGTGGAGCTGGCTGTGGAGTGCCTTGGGTATTTCTAGAAATCTTAAGTAATTGTTTATCCTCAATGATGGACGGTGAATTTAGGGGAGGACTTTTCTTAGCCTGTTACTTGATGCCAGTGAGTCACTGACTTAAGATAGTGCCCTAAACAGCATGTGCTCAAGACTCAGGGGAAGACTTCTGAAACACCCAAATCATAGAGGTCTCAGCTTGCGGGACAGAAATGGCCACAGCCCGTGTGGACCAGTTTGACATAATTCTCATTTATAAAACAGGCAACTAGAGGAATTAAATAACATACCTAGTGAGGACATTTTTGCAGGCTTTGTGTCCTCTATACCAGGAGTCCTAAAAGTGTCACTACCTCCATTAGTGCTGCCCACAGTGCCCCTCTGCTGTTGAGATCTCTTCTGGAAGGCAGAGCTATCAGCTCCACAGTAGCTGGAGCTGAACGTGTGGATTCCCCACAGTCACCTGTTGACTGAGAACAGGGGTCAGGTCTGGTCGCAGTATGCCACCTGTTTTGAAGCAAGTTTTGTCTGTCTCCCCAAGGATGGGGAGAGAGGAATAAGATGGTGGCTGTGTGTGGGCCCTGTCCTCTTGGCCCATTCCCTTAATTCTGTCACTGCTGCTAGGACTCATAGTCTTCAGAGAGAATGGCCCTTTTTTCAAGGACCATCCCAAGTCCTCCATCACAGACTATCCCCCCACTGTCTGCTGCTTTGTAGTTGTCAGTTGTCGTTGTTCTCTGTTGCTGCTGTGACAAATCAACACAGGCTTAAGACAACCCAAGTGATTTATCTGTAGTTCCTCCAAAAGTCTAACCCAGTTTTCTTGAATTAACATGAAGGCATCAGTAGGGCTGGATCATTCTGGAGGTGATAAGAATGGTTGTTCTATTGCCCTGTCCAGCCTCTAGTTCTGTCTGAGTTCCTTGGCTCATGATTCTCCCCCTCTTGTTTTCAAAGACAGCAACTGAGTTCTTCTCATAGTATACCAGCCTGACCTTCCACCTTGAAGCACCCCTGTGATTACCCGCAGTTCACCTGAACACTCCAGATATTCCACTTAAAGTCTGAATAGCAACCTTAATTCCATTAACAGCGAATTCCCCCTTGGCTAGGTTACACCATATCGTGGGTTTTGGAGATTGGGATGTGGACATCTTCACAGGACCATTATTCTTCCTTCTATACTTGTGAAACTCACCTGTCCATTGAGGCAGGAGCTCTGTGCAGGCCCCACAGGTAAACAAAGAAGAGGGGTTTACTCTCTAGACAGCATGCTTTGTTCCTAGAAGAGCTCATAGGACTTGGAGCATAAGCCACAGTGTTTGGGTTGAGGGGTGAACAGTTTCTGGGTGATAGGTGGTATCTGTAGTCTGATGACTAAGCCTCTCTTGCCCTGAAAACAAGGTGGTGTCCGGTGGCACAGTCAGCCACAGACTTTCCTGCTTGCCCATCTAAGTGCCCCTTTCTAGAAGCTTCTCAACACATATATGTTCCCTTCTTTTGGCCCCTATTCCTACAACTTAGCCTGAGGGAATAATTCACAAGAACAAACCTGAGGTTGTCTACTACAGTAGAAGCAGGGCACACTGGCCATGCTTATTGGCCATATTTGTCCTGTAGAGACTGACTTTAGGGAGCATTTGAAAACCTCTCAAGGGAACAGAAATAAGCAAACAAACTGTCATGTGTCCACTCAGTCCAGCTTCAGTGACCTGTGCCCTGGGTACACGGAGGGGGGTGGTGTATTTGTCAGCTGGACACATGCTTTTTTTTTTTTTTTTTTTCCCTCTTCTGTGTCTTTCAACATTTTTATTTTGGTATCAAAAAAACAAAAGGCAGTGGCAACTCCACTATACAGACAAACTCAGAAGAGGAAAAACATATCTCTCGTCACTTATTCATAGCTTTTAGCCAGATGGAATGAATGTTCACTCTGAGCAAGTAAATGTTCTTGTAACAGTAAACAAATGGTGTCACTTGTCTGTGTACTTTCAGACATACCAGATCCTTTTCAGACATTTCCCACCAGGACTTCCTATGTGGATATCACCATTATTGCCTAAAAGTTTTGGCAAATAGTTTACTCTCCTGTTCAAGTGAACTTTCCTCAGTAAAGTCACGTGGCTTACCAAGGCATTGCAAAACTCCTGTTAGCAGCCTTGCCAAGAGAGATGGCACTTCTGAGATGCTCTGCTGGGTCTCAGGTACCCTGCTCCAGTGGAGGGAGTGAGCAGGAAGGTCTTAGAATAGGCAGTTAGTGTGTTTCTGCGTGCTTTCTGTCTCTCTCCTGGCATTGTCCAGAAAAGGAAACAGCATGGTCTGTTGCTTGTTCATTACAGCTTTGTAAAGGCATTCACTTCTTCCACTGTGTTCCGCTTGCAGGCCCAGGCAGGGCTGCGGGACTGCCTGGGACTGCCTGGGACTGCAGCATGAGTGCCTGGGATTGCTTTGGAAGCAGAATAATCAAGTGAGAAGTTGGAGATTTCTCAGGGCCTCCCTAAAATGCTAATTTGGTGCTGTTCTGGTCAGTGGAATGCAGGTTGTGCTGGTTGAGGTTCTAGGATAAGGCCCTGTAACCCGTCTCCCACTTTGAGGAGGTCTGTTCTAAACTTCTGTGTGCTATTAGTCATCCTCTAAAGAGAGGCTGGTTCTCCAACCTTCATTGGGTCTCTTTTTGAAGCATTCTAGAGGCCCTGCAGGCCCCATTGTGGACTGTTGGGCCCTTCCCAGTCTTTTCTTAAGCATAGCCCTAACAAAGTCACAGACAAGCCTGTGTCATAGCTGCTGGCATCAGCCGGTTTCTGCTACCTCCTTGTCAAGAGGGTGTCTATCTTCATTGTCCCAGCCAAGGTGTTAGAAAGTACCCAAAAATTAATTAGGTTGCCCCCAAAATTGTTTTTCTTTTAATTCTATGAAAAGGCCCTGAAAAGCATTAACTGGTCATTCTTTTACATGAATTCGGTTGGAATCTTAGTTTCTCTAGGTCAGACTGGTGTACTCAGGGCTGAGGTCAGCAGGGATGGTGGGGATACATAAGAAGTGAGTGGCACAAAGGAGAAAAATGGACAAAGAAGTTGATTACTGCATTTATAATCACACTGTCAGTCTCACTGTGGAGAGGGATACCACCAGCCACTGAGAAAAATCAGCTGCAGATAATAATAGCACTCTTGCTTCACTCAGCTTCTGCTGCCAGTGGACAGAGAGCCAGCAGTGAGCTCTTACTAACTTTAGTGCCTCTTAACTCTATCCTAGAATTTTTTTTTTTTTTTTTTTAAGAAAAACATTCTGGTATGTCCAAATTAGGAATTCTGACTATTCAGAGCACTGGCTCTTTTAGAATGAAGTGATTTGTAGAGCCTTAGGGACTCATGAAGTACCTTGGAGCAAGGATTCTGGGATGCAGATAGGGCTGTGAGGGTTCATTATGAGATGCAAGGAGGTTGGGTGGCGGTATTGTCCTACTCAGATCCTGGGCCCACATGGCTAAGCACCTGCCTGTCCCTGCAGGAGACCCTCTGCAATGTGGGGCCTGGGTAGGGCAGTGTGCCCTTTACATCGTGATCATGATCTTTGAAAAGTCTGTGGTCTTCATCGTCCTTCTCATACTCCAGTGGAAAAAGGTTTGCCTCCCGTCCCTCTTCTGCCACTCCCTGCTAAGCCAAGTAAACGACACCCCACATCATCCTCAGCCTGCTTGTTTTTGTTTTAGCTCCATGAATGAGTCCCAGATTTGGTCTGATCTAGCAGCTATTTACAAGAGAATTAATTTGTCCTTCTTGTACTTGGTGTCCATCTACTTTGTGTAAATAAATGTCTTCTCTAGGTTAAGCCTTAGGGATATGTACACGTAATGGCAGTACAGTCCCTTCTGGTGTGTTGCTTGGTCTGATTAGTCTTCAGACTTTGTAACTGTGAATGTGTCTATACTAGCAAATGTCCTTCACCCACGTGTCTGAGATAGTTCAGGTAAAGCCAGTTTCTGAGGTCTGAACCCACCTACATATTAATTCCTCAGTGAACCAGTGGCTTTGCCAGCCCTTTCCTCTGCTCTCTGACCCCAGGACTACCAAGATAGCTTGTTCATATGTAAAATAGCCAAGGAGCCTTCTAGAACATGTGGCTCAGGTGTTGGCTTTCCTTTGGCATTATCTGTGGCAGGGTTTTTACTTTTTTAAGAAAATAAGCCAAAGTATTGAGAGCTGCTGAGCTCCAGAGGTGATGGCTATTCAGGGTTTTTGCTAGAGAGTAGTCTAGCACTTCGTTGCCCGGGTCTCTCAAGATCACCCACTGAATTTCCTCTCTCCAAGCCACCACTGCTGCCCTCTGGGGCTTCAAGCTACCCCCTGCTGGATATGCACCCCACTTGGATCCAATGCAATGGCCTGAAGGGGGAGGAACACTGCTAAAGAGCTAGTGACCCAAAGAGCCCCTTATCAGTAGTCAGATCTCAGGTCTGCACAGCGCAGCTCGTTTCCAGTGGCTCTTGGGGAGTGTCTAAGTCTCCTGTGTGCTGCCCCTGTGGTCTCTTCCTCACTGTGTCTGTTTCTCTCTGCAGGTGGCCCTATTGAATCCAATTGAAAACCCAGACCTGAAGCTGGCCATCGTCATGCTGATAGTCCCCTTCTTTGTCAATGTCAGTGCCTTGTGTGTTTTATCTCAGCTTGTCCCCTGCCATCAAGGGTTTCTGCTCAAAGCTCTGAACGTGACACAAATGTCACCTTACAGCCCTTAGACAAACCTTTCTGTCTGTGCGGCCAGTTGTTACCTCCCATCTCATAACCAGGCTTGCAAATGGTAGGAGTCCTTCCTTAGAAATCAGGGTCCCATTCTAGAGCCCATTTCAGGTGAAGGACCCCGGGAGCTATGGCTTGCCTTTCCTGAAGGCCCCTTCCTGCTTAGACATCCCACCCTATGTATGATAGTAATTTCTAGATCAGGGTCATTTCAAGTCTTCTCCAAATATTTATTGCTGAGTATAAACCTCAGAGAAATCCATGAGCACAGTGACCAAAAGTGAGGGGCCAGTGCTAAGGGAATTGGGGTTCCCTAAAGCAGCAGGTTGTGTGGCTTCCTGTGAAGGACCCTTGAGGGCTCAGAGCAGATAGTTAGAGAGTTTGGTTCTAGGCCCATAACAGACGCCTGTTTTGTTTTTTTGAGTTAGGGTCTCTCTACATAGCCCTGGCCATCCTGGAACTCACTATGTAAACTAGACTGGCCTCAGACTCTCTGCCTCTGCTTCCCCAGTGCTGTGATTAAGGGTGCACGCTACCACGCCTGGCCCCGTGCTGCCTGTTATTTAACACAACAAAAACCCATAAGGGAACACAACAAGAATTTTTCTGTTGTTCTCTGATGATAAAAGTACAGAAAATAAAATAGAGAGTGGTAATTCCTCTAGAATGTTCTGGGAGATGGTCTAGAGTGTTCTCTGTTCTCTGTGGAAGGGGGGATATGCAGCCCTCTGCTTTGCTTTGTTCTTCCACAGGCTTTCATGTTCTGGGTAGTGGACAACTTCCTCATGAGAAAGGGGAAGACGAAAGCTAAACTCGAAGAAAGAGGAGTCAACCAGGACTCAAGGAATGGGAGCAAGGTTCGCTACAGAAGGGCGGCATCCCATGAGGAGTCTGAGTCTGAGGTAGGAGCCTCCCTGACTGTCCCCAAGGGCAAGGCCATCATACCTGGGGCTACAGGGGTCTCTGATCTTTTGTTTGCACCTGAATGCTGATTCACAAATACCAGTCAGAGGGAAGGAAGAAGCTGAGCTAAAGAGTAGCAGGGTCACTCAGAGGCTCACCTAGCCAGAGCCCAGTGCCTGCTGTTCCATGCGCCTTCTCAGGTCAAAAAGATACGGTGTGTAGGTTTGCTACAGACAATCCCTGTGGCAGTGGAGACAGCTAGATGAGGTGAAATCCACCGTATTCCAGGGAAGCATTAAGGTGCTTGGAGCCCTGTCCTCCATTAACAAGCAAGGAAAGTGCTTCCTGCAAACTTCTAAAATACAGAACTAGCTAAACTGCAGAGGTAGCCTCATCTCCCTTTATCTGCTGGTGCCTAAATTCAAGGGTTTGAACATACAGAGGCAGTGTGCATGAGCACAGCATGGGGCAGGGGTGCGTGTTCTGCCTGGCCTGCAGCATTCATTGCACCTTTATGCCTCAGCATGTAGCTGGGTCGGAGCACTGAGCACCGTGCTGCTAATGGGAGCTACAGGAGTGGCTGAGATGAGCCAGGCTTGGTAGTACATGCTTAGTATATCCTGTGCTTGGGAAGTAGAGACATCCAACGCTCTGTGAGTTTGAGGTCAGCCTGGTTTACATAGCAAATTCCAGGCCAGAAAGGAAGGGTTATATATAGAGTGAGACCCCGACTCCCTCCCCCAGCCAAAAAAGTGATTGAGGCATAAGCGACATGACTGGAGAAGCCTGTCCAGAAGCAGACCGGAGGGAGTGTTAGACAAAGAGGGCAAGCCCATATTTTCTCCAAGTTTATGTTCAAAGAAGCTAGTCACAGGGCTTATTACATCATAAGGCCTTGGCAAACATTTGGCAAATGACAAATAGCCATAAAGCAGAAACTACAGCTTATGGACATTTATAACCACATTTTCGGCCTCTGATAGTAACATGAAATTCACATTGGCCAGAGCAGGGAGCTATCAAGTGATTCAGGCCACAGGAAGGGTCATGAGACTGTTTATCCCACCCCTGGAGTAGGAATTCCCGTTCCCCTTCATGGATGGGCTATGAGTTCTTAAACCTCATGCGAGGTCTCCTGATCTTCCTGTTGTGTTCGGAGGTCTCAGGCCAGCAACTATGACAGGAATGAATAAGTTTGTCCTTTTTATCTTCAGAAATGACAGAGGTAGCTCAAGACAACCCCTCAAACTACACTGCCTCATGTGGTCCCTGGGACAATTTCATTCCCTTCTGACAGTGACTGTGTATTTAAGATAGTTCCAGGGCCCTGAGAGTCATTCATGCACCTGGTTGGCTTTGATCGGATTTTGGGTCTGGCTGGAAGCTGGATGAAGACATCAATGGGGGAAACATTGACAGATGAGGGGCGGTGAATTTAATGCTAGCTTCAACAGGCCAGCACATCTCAGTGTGGAAGGGGGACCTCCCATGACCCTCTTCTAAGGATGTGGGAAACTTGAGGCCTCCCAGAGGGGCTGGGCTCGGAGGGGGACAAGCACAGAAGGCACTGCCACTGGCGTCTCAGGCCTTGCCTCTCCACCACCTCAGATCCTGATATCAGCTGATGATGAGATGGAGGAGTCCGATGCCGAGGAGGACCTCCGCAGACTGACCCCCCTCAAGCCTGTGAAGAAAAAGCATCGCTTTGGGCTGCCTGTATGACACATTCCCACGCTGCGGGTGACAGCCCTGCAGCGGCATCCCTTCCCTCCTCTCTCTACCCTCCTCTTCTACCTCCACACCTCTTGCTGTCTCTGCCCGCTCTCCACCCGCCCCAGACAACTGTGACTTAAAAGAGGGAAGAGGAACCGTGCCTGAGGGGGCTGTGGGCAGCTGGAGGTCCCGCTCAGTTGCACTACAAACACTGACCAAATATGCAAGCGAAGAGCTTTGTTTGTTTGTTGTTGTCCCTTTGGGGTGTTGTGAGACCCCCTGTCCTATGTCTGACCAGGTGGCATGGTGGAAGAAAACAGAGCACACATAGACTGTTGGGGTCCCCATGCTGAGGCTATGGGCCTTGTGGACATGTGACGTGCTTGGGGTTAACAGCCACCGGTTGACCCGAATTGGAACAGGAATGCTTTCTTAACTCAAAATGGCTTTTGTAACTCTTTATTTCTAAAGCCAGTTTTATGAGCTGTGACAGTGTTACTGTTTTTTGAGTATGTGTTTATTTCCTACAAAGTATCTATGGGTCTAATGGGCAAACAGATTTTTAAGTCTTCCTTATGCTGTTTGACTTTTATATTTTTAAGTTATATTTTCATACTATTGTATTTAAAACTTTTTAATCCCCAAAGAAACTGATTTGTTTGCCTTTCGTGGGGTATGAGCTGGGGGCGGAGGGGAGGTAAGAGTGAGGAGTTTTTTAATCCAGAGATATTGTTAGGTAATATCTGATGATGAGGTCAGTGATCCTGGTGGGGAGGGTAGCTAGCCTTTATCCATAGTTTGGAAAGGTCACACCTGGCCTTGAGACACCTGTTCAGGTGGAGCTGTGTACTATGATGTGGGAACAGACAGAGCCCTGTCAGGGCATACAAGCCACCATGTTCGAGGCTTTGATTAAACTTGATTGAGAAAGGAGGCCAAGAGTTAAGACATTTGTGCCCAGAGCACTCAAGACTACCAGGCTCCTCCTGCTGATTCCCTGTCTCTCAGAGCCTCTGAATCACAAGTCTTAGAATGATCCCAGCCTCTACTTCCGATGCAGCAGCTTGCAGAGCCAGCCTTTGCCCTGCAGCTGTCCCCTGCTTGTTTGCTCAGCTGTGTGGAGAACTCTGCCTGGCCAGAAAAGCCTGTTACCGTGTCCTCCAAAGTTGTGAAGTGACTATGGCAGAGCAGATACCGGTGAGAGCTGTTTCAGTGTGTAGATAGTATGAGGTATTTCTAGACTGTTCTCCTTGGTGGTTACAGCCACTTCTCAGCCAGGCTACAGTTTACCTAGTTTACAGCTTATGGGCATGGTACCTGCTGTGGAGGGGACAGGGTGGAGCTGTGTGATGGCCTGTCAGTCCAGTAGGCAGACACAGTGGTAAAGAACACAAGAACATCCCACTACTTCATAGGCTGGAAGTGTTATATACGGCGCAGGCCTCAGCTTTCCTCAGAGTCATCTTCTAAACCTTCCTAAAAATGTGTTTTGTTTGAGCATACAGGATCTAGGTGTCTTGGGACCTGTGAACCTAGCCTTTACCCAGGGTACCTGGGCCGTCCTCTGCCACTTGAACCCTTCTCACTTGCCCTAGACAGAAGGGTGGACTGTGGGCGGCTCCCTCAGCTATTCTCCTAGTGCAGGCACCACTGAAGAGTGGGAGTGCTGTTGGGGGCTCCACGCTCCAGCCAGGCAGAGGCCAAGGACCTGGAAAAGGCATTGTTCCTGTTCCCGTTTCCCTTCGTCCTACCACCGTGCTCATTCTCTTCCCCTTCTCAAGTGTGGTTCCACTGAGTTGTGTGGAAGGGTACGGCTTAGGCTTCTGGTGAGACGGTCAGTTCCTGGTGGCATTGCTGATGTCATTCTCACGTTCCCTTTCTGTTTCACTGTGCTTTAGATAACCTGTGCCTAACCCACTCTCCCTTCTGCACCCATCCTTCTGGAGCTCTGTGTTGGAACTTCGTTTTCAGACTTGAGCTCCTGGAGTTTCCAAACCAGACACAGAGGTGGAGGAACCACTGTGAAGGATGGAAACACAGTTACCCAGGCCCCACGGAGGTAATCTGTGAGGTCCTGCCAGCTCCCAGGCACAGGACCCGAAGGGCAGAGGAGACAAGTGAGTGCAGGCTCTTTTTGTGTCCATGGATGGTTATAGTCTCTGGGCTGCAGCTGTGGAGCTGGCTCAGCAGGAAAGGAGGTCCAGCAGGCACCTGATACCAGAGCCTGTCTGTGTACAGGCTTGGTGCATGCTTGTCCTTCCCCTCTCCCTGTGTGGATGTGTGCATTCACTCATGCAGCATAAGCACATACACTCAACATGACTCTTTATCCCTCAGGAGACCCTCCAGCGCTTGCTAAGGCCTTTCTCTTCCTGTGGTACACTTTCTCACTAGAATGGATGTAGAGGGCTCTGGTCAGGACTTCTTCCTGCGCTGTCCTCCATCCCTGGAATGAGTGTCCCATCACTTGTTCCAAGGTGCCTTATGCGATGGGACCCTTTTCTGCCTGATGGCAGGCATCAGGCTAGGGTTGGGGGGAAATGGGATGCTCATTTAACTATGGTGTGCTGTCAACCCGATTTGTCCAAATTGGTACCTTGGCCAAGCTGCTCTTGGAAGCTTGCAAGCCAAGGTGATGAATATGAGTTTTTGTAACTAACAGAAATAAACCAATGAGAGAGAGCTGACACCTAACTCAAAGAGATGGTGGCTTTTTTATTTTTATTTTTTTAATTTCCTTTGCCTGTTGGTGGGACTTTAGTAAAGGCAAGGATGAATAGTGAGATCCTGCATGGCAGTGATTTCTCAATCTGTGTTCCGGAAGGTGTGTGAGGTAAGATCTGTGGCCCTCAGCCCTGGCATATGATGGTAGCTTCCTGCCTCGCTTTAAATTGTTAAAATCACCCCCACCCCAACCCCACCCCCTGTAACAAGGACCCATGGGCTCATGTCACTTCTGTCTCTTTCCTGAGGGGGGATGAGGACAAGAAGACTCAAATTCAAGTTGTAACTTCCCTTTGGCAGGATAGGCCTCCAGGCTACACTCAGGGTCCACATCTGAAAAGTGCCCCAGGGCTGGAAAGGGCACACCCAGGCTGCCCCTCCTGCCAGGCAACAAACCTCATAGGATGTAAGCTAGCTTATTTGGTTTTGGTTTTTTTCATTTAAAGCAAATCTTCTAATTATTTCCTTCTTTCTTTCTTTCTTTCTTTCTTTCTTTCTTTCTTTCTTTCTTTC